GCCTCCAACTGAATGCCTGAGTCACAGTGAGACCCCCTAAAGGAAATGGCGAGCATTAAAATCGCCAAGTAACCGAAGGGGTGACGGTAAGGAAGAAACCAGAAATGGAACATCTGGGTTAGATAATGCCCGAGAGGGAGAGAGATACAAAGAACAGATTGTATACCACTTATTCAAGTGGATGTGGGCTGTAGTGTAAGGCGGCAAAGTATGAACAAAGAGCTGATAGTATAAAATACTGGTGCATATAAGAAGTGCACTTTCATTAAAGATTCCATCGGGAAAAGGATTCGATGAATATAATAAAACAGCTCGAGATGAGATGGATAACAGCAGAGCGTAATTTGGGTTCTTGTAAATAGACACAAACAAGGGAAAACTGGAAGAGCAAAACCTGAAGCTCATCCCAGTTACCTCTGAGGCCTCAGATATTCCACTGTAAATAAGCCATGATTTGCGAGAAGGATAAAAGAAATCAGAAGGTAGAGGTATCTACGGACTAGAAGGGTTAGGAAAGTCCACATGTGGAGGCAGCGGAAAACGAACAAGCAGCGAAGGGTTAGAATGCTGCTGCGAAGTAAGGAGTTGGGCAGATGGAGAAGAGTGAAGAGGAGCGACAGGAGGTGGATCGGTGTCCATCAATGGTTTAGTCTCCGCAATATAGTCGGAGACAGCTTCAATTGTTTCAGAGAACAAGGACATTGTATGTGGGACGATACTGGAGACAGAAGGAGGGTGAGTATAGATCAAGGCGATGATGGAATTTACGAACGTAGGGGTGGGGGGAGGGGGACGAGAGGTTAGAGGTAACTTGAGGAGCTTGGGAGGGGACAGGAGAGGAAGAAACTTGAGAGGGGACATCAGAGGAAGAAACTTGGAAGGGGACAGGAGAGGAAGGCACTGTACGAGGAGGAGAATGGACCTCCACAGTCCACACTCGCAACAGAATGAGTAAAAGGTAAAGAACCAGGTACTGAGACTGGAAATAAAAGAGATTTACCCTTTTGAGATCTGTTGAACTTTGAAGAGTAGAGAGGTGAGACACCAACATAGTGACCCGTAACTCGATCGCTATCACACTCAGCTCACACACTGAGGTCCAGGGTACGATTCACCTCCGGTATGGCTGGAGAACATTAGGGACATGTTTCAATAAGACATCTGCTGTCCCTGTCCCTGTCCCTGTTCACCCATCAGTTTAAAATATGTACCTGGGTGTTAGTCAACTGGTGTGGGTCGCATCCTGGGAAAAAACTGACCTAATTTGCCCGAAATGCTTAGCATAACATACTATATAGTAGTATGTCATTGATGTCAGCTAGGCCTGTATACCATATACATGTACTTGTAGTAAATAAAGATATTATTATTATTATATTATTATTATTATTATTATTATTATTATTATTATTATTATTATTATTTATTAGAGAGGAGCTGTTGTGCGAGGTCTTGTATACATATACGCTTGCGTGTGAGATGAAGATTGAAGAACCAGTCAAGCCTGTAAACCAGCAATCCGGAATAGCAACCTCACACCTACCGAGCCACCTCAGCAGACAAAAGTGAAGGCGGTCAGAAACCCGCCACAAAGCATACCTCCTTCGGCCACCACCTCCTGGAATTCGACAGGCAGCCTTCAGAGATACACCCATCACCTGAAAGACACCCGAAGCCTTCCCCTTTCCTCCCCGGTATACCGGAGAGGGATCGGGATCTCTAGATGATCCAGATTCCATGTCAAACTACACTACCACCAAGGACCTCAAAGGAAGATGGACTCTGGAATCCCTTCTCAGGTCTAGGAACTACCAAGCCTAAGGGAACAACCTCAAAGACAGAAACAGGAAAGGGAAAGTGGAGGGATGAGGAGAGGAGGAAAGGGAAAGGAGTGATGGGGAGGATGGGATAGGGAAGGGGGGATTGAGGGGTAATTAGGTTCGGTATGAGAAAAAAGACCAGAAGGTCTAATTCCTCAGACCAAGAGCCTCTTCATCGTGCCAAGGAGCCCCCTTTGAAGAGGTACGGGTCATACAGTGCCAGGAAAATGTGAGGAAATCAGATCCGATCTTAGCAAGGAGAGAATACTGTAGTTCTAATTCTTTGGATCACTTAAGAAAAAGGAAACTTTATTGTTGAGACTTGATAATGGTCCTGGGCGGTCGAAACGTTTCAGAGTTCCTCTTAACAACTGAGATTTTCACTGTTGCTAAGACAGTCAAAGGGGTGACTATTTAACAAGCCTTAAACATGGATCTGACAATTTTTTTCTACTGTTCTCGGTGATTCTCCGTTTTCTGTTAGTTCGTCAGGACTCTATCTTACATTTAATTTATTGGCGTCCTGGTATGTTATGATTTGCTATTTTTTATTCACTGGGGACAATGGAACCTAACTAAACTTAATCTAAAGTAACCTAAGAAAGGAGACAGTATCACTGATTTGTATAGCATGCAGAGTTATGGAGAAGATTATCAGGAAAAGACTGATGGAACACCTAGAAAGGAATGAGCTTATACATGATAACCAGCACGGTTTCAAGGATGAGAAATCCTGTGTCACAAACCTACTGGAGTTTTACGACAAGGTGACAAAAGTAAGGCAGAAGAGGGGTGAGAAGAATTAATTTTCTTGGACTGTAAGGCTTCTGACACAGCGCTGCACAAGAGATTAGTGCAAAAGCTAGAAGAGTAGGCAAGAATAACAGGAAAGGCACTGCAATGGATCAGAGAATACCTGACAGGAAGGACACAAAGTGTGATGGTACATGATGAGGTGTCAGAGTGGCCACCTGTGACAAACGGGGTGCCACATGGGCCAGTCCAAGGGTCGGTGCTGTTTCTGGTGTATGTGAATGACATGACGGAAGAGATAGATTTAAAGGTGTCCCTGTTTGCGGACGATGTGCAGCTAATGCGGAGAATTTAAGTGGTTGAGGATCAGGTAGGACTACAAAGGGATCTGGACAGGCTGCAATCCTGGTCCAACAACTGGTTTCTGGAGTTTTACCCCACCAAGTGCAAAGTCGTGAAGATTGGGGAAGGTCAAAGAAGACCACAGACAGAGTACAGGCTACGGGGCCAAAGACTGCAAACCTTGCTCAGTCAAAAGGATTTTGGTGTGAGTAAAATACCGAGCACATCTCCTGAGACGCACATCATGCAAATAACTGCTGCAGCATATGGGCGCCTGGCAAACCAAAGAATACTGTTTCGACACCTGAGTAAGGAATCATTCATGTCTGTGTACACCATGTACATCAGGCCCATACTGGAGTATGAAGCACCAGTACGGAACCCACACCTGGTCAAGCACATCAAGAAATTAGAGAAAGTGCAAAGGTTTGCTAAAAGACTAGTCTCGGAGCCTGACGACACTAGAGAACAGGAGAGATAGGGGGGACATGATAGTGACATATAAAATACTGAGAGGAATTGACAAGGTGCATAGGGACAGGATGTTTCAGAGATGGGACACAGCAACAAGGGGACACAACTGGAAACTGAAAATACAGATGAGTCACAGGGATGTTAGGAAGCATTTTTCAGTAATGGAGTTGTCAGGAAGTGGAACAATCTGGAGAGTGTTGTAGTGGAGGTAGGATCCATACATAGCTTTAAGAGATACAATACAGCTCATGGAGCAAGGAGTGGACTTAGTAGTGACCAGCGAAGAGGCAGGGCCAGGAGCTATGACTCAATCCCTGCAACCACAAATAGGAACGTAAATCTAGAAATCTGCTACAAACCGTATGTGTGAAATCCACAGGATTTGTGAGGATGAGTTGAACATTTGTGTTCTTACAAAATTTGAATCAGTTTGAATTATTTTCACCACAGCATGTGACTTACATTTTTCGATTATTATTATTATTATTATTATTATTATTATTATTATTATTATTATTATTATTATTATTATTATTATTATTATTATTATTATTATCGGAAAAAGAGTTAGACCAGTATGGGCCATTCAGCACTGCATGATAAGGTGAAAAGATACATCAATAGCCGCTTATTAGGTACATCCTTCTAGCCTACAGGGTATGACTTCATCAAGGCATGGATTCAACAAGGTAGTACCTTGTTGATTCTAATCCATGTTGACATGATAGCATCATGAAGGAAATAAATGGTATAAAATACCGTCACAGTGGAAATATAAATAATATTACAGTTTAATGTGATCCTTATTGACAGCGTTTCGGCCACCACAGTGGCTTTTCAAATCACAAAACAGATCTGTTTTGTGACTGAAAAATAGGCCCACTGTGTGGGCGAAACATTGTCAATAAAGGATCACATTATACTGCATATGTGTTTATATTTCCATAGCATCATGAAGTTGGTGCAGATTCGTCGGCTGTACATTTATGCTGCGACTACATTCCAAAGGTTTACGCCAAATTCTGACCCTGCCATCTACATGTCACAGCAAAAATCACTATTTGTCAGACCAGGTGATGCTCTTCCAATCTTCAACTATCCAGTTTTGGTGAGCCTGTGCCCACTGTAGTCTCAGTATCCTGTTCTTAGCTGACAGGAGTAGGACCCGGTGTGGTCTTCTGCAGATGTAGCCCAACCACGTCAAGGTTTGATGTATTGTTCATTCAGAGATGTTCTTCTCCACACCACAATTGTAATTATAATAAAAAAGAAGCGCTAAACCTACAAGGGTCCCACTGTTGTAATGCGTTGGTAATTGACATACTGTCGCCTTCCTGTCAGCTTGAACCAATCTGGCCATTCTCCTCTGACCTCTCTCGTTAACTAGGCGTTTTCACCCACAGAACTGCTGCTCAATGGATTTTTGTGTTTTCACACCTTTCTCTGTAACTCTAGACTGCTGTGCATGAAAATCCCAGATCAGCATATTCTGAGATACTTAAACCACACTGTCTAGCGCCAACAATCATGGTCAAAGTCAAGCTTCAGGTGCACCTAATAAAGTGGTCACTGAGTGTATATACTTTAAATGTAATATCTTGACTACTGCAGGTGTCCCCCTCGGAGTTAGAAGACGTAATCTTGGGTCACCCGAACGTAGCCGATGTGGGCATCGTGGGTGTGGAGGACGAGAGGGCCGGGGAGGTGCCTAGGGCATATGTGGTGCGTCATGGGCAGGTGACAGAGCAACAGCTGCATGACTTCATGGAGAGCCGTGTGGCTCCTTACAAGCAACTGGCTGGAGGCATCAAGTTCGTCGAAGGGCTGCCCAAGAACTCCACTGGTAAGCTGTTGAGGAAGGAGCTGAAGAAGAAGGCGGAGCAGAAGTAACCAAGATTCTGCACAGTGTCTGAAACTAATGAAAACACATGTTAAACACTTGCCATATTTCATTGGGTGACGCTTTGTCCCCAATAAAATGCAATATATGCGTGTGTGTATATTCCTACATTCCATCCGTGTTGATATACTCTCTCAAGTACTTGTACCTGAATGTCCGAAGAAACAGCTGACCGGTCTTAGATCTGTCCGCAACTAGTGCTTGGCTTCCAGTAAACTAAACTAGACGGAAGAGGGTGTATTATGTTTGTTGCCGTGACCCATCTTCCATTTGTGCAACTTGGTTACTGACAGTTGTGTACGTATATTTAGGTTAATGAATGTCAAATTATATTCAATGAAAAGCATTAAAGCCCTAGGGGTTATATGGTGCCTGAGAGACGGTAGGCAATCAATGTCGAATCAAGATTATTATAATCATGGGGGAGTGCTAAACCCGTAGGATTATACAGCGCCTGTGGGGAGATGTGGAAGGTATTCAGGTTTAATTTAGGGAACTGGAGCAGAGATCCAATTCCCTAGATTAAGAGCCCCTCACCAGGGGTGTCGAATCAAGAGCCCTATAGCATTAAGGCTCCCTAACCCGTAAATTAACCTGTCTTTATCTGCCATTATTATAATGAAAACAACATCCTAAACCCACAAGAGTCATACAGCCTTAAGCTGTTGAACTCTTATACTATTATATTACAAAAAGTTGCTATGTATGATAATTGTGGAAATTTATTTGGTCCAAATAGTTCCACAGCTCAGATCCAGCATGAGCGTCTGGTCGTCTGAGCCGAGCGGCCCTTAAACCCTCCCAAACACGGCATTTCTTGAGTTGGCGGTTGTAAGCTTATGTAATTTAAAGATTATCTTCAGGAAGTAGGAGGTGGTTTACTGGTAGTACACTCATATTAGGTTTACTAAGGCATTTGTAGATAATGATAGAGTAGACCTAAGACCTTAACATAGGTAGTAATAGGCCGATAATGTAGGCTACATTAGGATAAAGTTTGCTAGGGAGAAACTGGACAGCCCTGCTTGAATTGCTGGGCGCAGGTCACCAAAGGAAAGAATAGCGTCCTTATTACATAGACCCCTCCGACTGGGACAAGACGTGCCGGGAACATCAGGCGGCCCCCCACGTGGTCTCACATCTGAGACCTGGGGTATTCTGTAGAGACACTCGATGTACCGTAGATGATCTCCTCCATAGCCCATACAGGTAAGACGCGATATCCACCTTTTTACGTTGGATACTGGCCCAGTGACTTAGGAGATTGTGGATGAGTTAACTGAGGGCTCGGCGTGCTACAGTGTGAGTATGCCCAGTAAGTACCAGGTCTCAGGGTCGTCTGAAGCTAGCGTTCTGAGTCTGCATAGTTATACTAGGGGTTACATACCCTCTTGGATATAGGAATTTTGAGGGTGCAGGCAGGACACTAATAACGATTGAATATTGCAGGAATTTAATGCTTCCCGTTGCAGTGGTTCCAAGGGGAAGTCCAAGGGGGCTAAAGCTAGGCTTAGGGAAGTTGAAGGATCAGGATATATGCTGCAACACCAAGTAAGTTAGGCCTTTATAGTGAATGCAGGCGAGGTTTCTTGCAATACCAATATTTGTGAAAAATCTGTCCTATAAGCCCACTTGTGAGCTGAGGTACCACCTCTGAGTCGGTGTCAACAGGTTTGCCAGGGTAGGCGATCACTTGGAGGCCTGGCCACACAAACTTTTCACAAAAAGTGGGCCTTCGAAAACAGGATGTGGAATAGCTAGGTTAAGCTATCATAGCTAGGCCACAGTTTAGGAACAGTTATTCAGAGTTAGGTTAAGTATCATAGCTAGGCCACAGTTAGGTTAAGCTATCTATAGCTAGGCTACAGTTATGAACCAGTTTTTACAGAGTTAGGTTAAAGCTATCTTAGCTAGGACACAGTTTAGGAACAGTTTAAAAAGTAGGGTAAGTTAGAACCACCTAGGTCAAAGTTACTCAGAGGCTAGGCCAAAGCTGACTTTACACAGAAGTTGTTATTTGCAGTAATTTACTGGGCAGGCCAGGTGGGCTAGTGAAGCTTTGAATTTAATTATTTACAGTGATTACAAGTCAATCCGGTGAGAGTTAAATACAGTTAGACTCGTTGCGCACTAGTAGTGAGGAAATACTACACATTGCAATGTTCGCCTAGATCGCGCGGCCAGAACCAGTGCTCCCCCCCCCGTACCCCGCACTAATAGCCGCTCCCAGCGACGTCCCTGGCCGCTCGCCCTGCAATATCGTTTACATAAGGTTATACGCCTAGAGAGGGACAGAATTTACCTAGTTATTATTTTCAGGGAGTTATTAAAGCCAGGTTTAAGTTATAGCACACTAGCTAGGTTAGAGGGTTTACCTTATCAACCATCCACGCTAAAACAGAGTAAGTAAGCTGGGCTCAGTTAGGCAAAGATGTTTACATACATTATTTATTTACTGTTTCACAAGTTGAATTTGTTGAATTAGTGTGTTAACCAAGTGATATTTTAATTATTTATACTGCACTTTTTATGTGATTTTTCATCATCTTTGGTTTCATTGTTAATTGGGAGTTTGTGAATTATACCTGAGACTAGGTTAAGTCCTGTAATTATTTGTGGCATTTGTACAGTTAAGTGCTAGATTAGCTTCATCGATACACATTTTTGATTGGGATTTGAGAGTAACTGTGTACATTTTTGATTCAGTGTAGAGTCAATATAATAAAGGGAATGTTAAGCTTGTTGAGAAGCCTTGAAGGACCCGTTATTCTCACCTAATTAATACCGTTTGTGCTGTGGGGTGGGCTATGAAATACAAATAGCCACCGTTGATCGTACTAAACCGCAACTATGGTTGGTGAAGATGCATGTACAGCTGTCCCAGCTCTAGTCAATTAAAGCGGTCTATGGGAAGCCTATAAGGGGCCGCCTGAGCAAAGCATGGTTGAGGAGTGTCGTATGGCAGGGCAAGATCAGGACGTTAGTCCTGGGAGGGGGGAACTAGAGAGTTGCCTGATCCTTTGGAGCAAGTCCTGGAGGCCTCTGAGAGTTATTTATCCTTTATGAGACTGGGCTATACTAAGGTGAGGTCTGAATATTCGGTTCGAAGTAGCACGGACAGACTATGGCGAACGAAGGGCAGAGGTAAAAGCAGAGATGAGACTCTGAGGCAGTAATAAAGACTTGAAGGCCGCGGGACAGCAGAGGGCAGCAAATGTTTCAAAAGAAAACGAACAACTGCACGCCTGTTAATGTGTTGCCCAGATTGCCCCAAGTTGAATTTACCAACGTTTGACGGAACCTTAACAGAGTACTATTGTTTCTGGGATCAGTTTAGAGCCCAGATAGATGCAGGAATGATTTGGTCAGATGGCCGTAAGTTGCAGTATTTGCCACCGGTCGCAGCTCAAGGGTAGCTTAGACTGGTCCGGCACTACCCGACTATGGACACTAATTACCAACATGCCAAAGACCCAATTAGAAGACATGTTTGGCAACACTGTGGAGATATAAAGGTAGCTATACTTTATCGGGTTGTTGGATCTAGAGGCTTGCAGACATGACCGTCAAGTCTAGAGAAGTTCCGTTTGAGGTTATGAGCTTGACCAATAGTTTCAGAGAATTTGCTGATGAGATTGATCAAATGGGATCCTTAGCCAGGTGATTCAGAGGAAAACTGGCTGACGACAGTTGATGAGTTACCACTTAAAACAGCGGACGAGTATGGTTCCACGATAAACCAAATTGTTGAAGGGTTAGGGGATCTCGTTCTCAACCTGAGCATTGGTCAGGGGGAGAATTACCTACCAAGGAGAAGTCGGTTTCGAACGTCCCCAGACATTCGAGCGATAGGACCTAAACCACCTCCCCACTAAGTAGGCAAGTCTATTAGTGCCCAGGGCGAACCCTCCACCAGGGCCAAGGGGGAGAGAAGAAGAAGCACTATGCGGCAGTATGAGGACGGTGCGTGTTTTGTGATGAAGAACACGCTAGAGTTCAGGGATGTTCAAGCTTCACCACCTATAACCAAAGGGGGTTCAACGGCCTAGAGAGTTGAGGACTTTGTTTCCAAGTGTTGTGGAGAACATTATCCTGGGTCTGTAAACACCATGTCAGGAGTGTCGGGGCTGCCGGGAAGGGAAAGCACACAGTGACTGTGTCCTAATGATGCCGGATTAGCAAGTTAAGGAGAGCAAACCGCAAGTGAAAGGGCGGAGAGGAGGAGAGCAAGAACAAGTCTGAAGTAACGATGAGTGTGGTGAAGTACGGACCGAGAATTTGTTCTGGTGAGCAATTTCAAGGCTCGGTGGCCTTGCCCACCATAATGGCGGTGGTTCGAGAAATCGGGGAAGAAGTCTGAAACAACCCGTTTGTTCTTCGAAGTGGGGCACAGAGAACCGTCATTTAGCAGGAGCGTCTAGCCATAAGGTTGAGCTGGAGACAAGTTGGTTTAAAGTTGACTGAAGGTGGTGAAGGGTTTGGGGGGAAGTCCCACGCAGGTTTATCAGTAGTCAAATGTGACGGTAGGTTAGACGCGGCGGCATCGCGGGAAATTTCAGCCTTGATGGTGAAGAGGTGCCCAATATCATTACCAACTAGGTGGACTGCTGCAGCAGTCAAACGTTTTGAGGGAGTTTGGGTGTGAAGCTAGCAGAACCAGGACATGGCTTACAGACCAATGTTTGTAATGTAGGCTCTTGTGTAGGAGGGGCATTACTAGACGAGTTCGTATGTCTACGAGAAGGGATAATCAAGGAATGGTGTGGGCCTGTACAGGGACTCCAGCGGGGGGGTACATCGTAGGAGGCAGAATACCAGCTCACTTCCCTGGACCCCGGGGAAAGGAGTGCTTGGTAGTACATGCGAATGAGGCTGTAATGGTGATGCGGATGGTGTGCACGAAGGGCCTGTCAGAGGCGCAAGTTGGCATACCGAAGTGAGCCGGTCCATAACTATGGCACCGGATGTAGTAGGATTAAAGGTGACAGCCGCCCCCGAACACGAAGAGACGTATCGGAGAATTACTTGAACCATGTTGCAGTTCAGGGGACGGGCAGTATTGGGTGCGACTACCATGGAAACGCGGCCACCAATGCTGCCCACTAATTTCAAGAGGGCCGTGGTCAGTTGAATCATTGGTGAACAACCTGACCAAGAAGGGTCTGGTGGGGAAATATTGTTATTATTAAGGAACAGCTGGCCTTTGGTTCATCGAGAGAAAGGCCCAATGCCAGCCCTGGCGGAAAACACCCTATCTTCCACACATGGCAGTCTCAAGGAGTGGTAACCATCCCATCAGAGTAGTCTTCAACTGCCAGCTCGCAGGCGCGTCCCGAGAGGCCATCGATTGAACGACTGTCTGCTCTCTGGGCCCTCCCTGACGCAGAAATTAGCGATTGTAGTTGAGATTCAGGACGGAACAGTACGCCTATGCGTGCAGGAAAATTAGCAAAGCCCTTCCTACGTAATTGGGTTGCAGCCACAGCCGATAGGGACTAACACAAGTTCTTGTGATGGCTAACGGGAGTTGCCAAGCATGGGTATGATACCTAAGATTCAGGGCAGTGTTGTTTGGTGCACTAGTTCACCATTTCCTATTACAGGCTCTACCATAGACTACCCACCTTGGACTGTAACAGCCGCTTAAAGAATTACTGAAAGACCCTATTTTTTGTAGACAACATTGCAGGGTACCACCTCAGTTGAAAGGCTGTTGATGGATATTTACCGAGTGTCTAATCAGGAGATGCTCTCGGCTAAACATCGCCATTGATGAGAATGGGTGAGACAAAAACAATCCACGTTGCGG